GAAGCATACATGCTGCCGAAGATGATTGTGCCATATCCAAGTACTATGGGAATCATTACTTTGAATAAAAGTAGTCTAGCTTCAGTGGTATGTACGTGTTTAAGCAAAAGGCCAACTGAGCGCCTACACTTGGGGGCAAGGGACTGGGCATACTCCGTAAAAGTTGAGTTCCGAGAATACCTAACACCTGAGTCACACAGTAAATTATAAGGCTGTAGCACAGAGTCGCTAAGGTGTAAACTGACGTTTAGGTAGGAACTATTGCAATGGCGGACCCGCGTTAACTACAGTCAAGCGGAAGTTGCCATACTTCACTCCAAATGAACAAATACGTCAGGTCTTCCTGGATCATGGAGGGAAGTTTGGCGGAGCCCGGGGACCATAGAAAGTTCGTGTGCGTAATCTTCATAAATTTTGGTTAGTTGTTTAACAAGCTATGTCATTTCGGGTCATCCAAATAGCCTGAAAACGTTACAACCACTGCAACCTACCTGAATGAATCGGAGGTTTCCTTACTCGAGGAAGATAAACAGTGGGGATCACATTCAGGCTCCTTCTCTGACTCTGGGTCAAACACAAAATGCCGCAAGAGTCCTAGTTGCCCTGCTACCGTTCTTGTACAAAAGGGGACAAAGCATGCCTAGGGGCCCCCTGTGACACCCAATGATCAGGCGCACGCGCTTCAAACAGATCTCCTTGGTTTGCTTGCTTAATCGAAGACATAGTCGATGTCTATTAAAACACAATAAATGTTTACGTAGCTACGCCAGAGTCATCCAGGATTCTTGGTGTAAAGTTAGGGAGCAGGAAAACTAGGTGAATGGGATAGCAAATCATCAATTAGGGTTCGACATAACAAACTGATTCATCTCCCAAGGACATTCTTGGATGCATTATTTCCCCATAGTGAAAGTTGCACAGCCGTTTGAACACTTTTGTGCTCAAAACGTGCACCTGCCCGAATCCACTGATTTCATGTGTGAAATGCAGGGTTGCTGTTTAAACCTCGCCAACTAAATGGCGTTGCACGTGTCCGTAATAAAATACTTGAGACCACCTATGTCAAGGCCGGGAAATAGCTTCAAAAAACTCAGAAGATTCGGAAAGCCTTGGGGCCTGAAACCTGACAGTTAGCCAGTATCTATTATTATGACTGACTGGGACACGTTATTTTTTGTTCGCCTGCTTTGAGCAGCTAGAGGACGCCTGCAAAGTGGTCGGCTCTTTCCTCGTGTCCAGACTGCATCAATATGCTCTCTGTGGTGTTAACCCATGAAGGCCGTCATACAGACCAGTCTACCGAAGTGCCTGGACAATCATAAATCGGCGATTTGTACTCATAACTCTCAGAAGCTCTCAAAGATTGTAGGTCATCTGCAAGCACTAAAACGCTTGCCGCTACCTAAGTAAGCAATCTGTTCACGCGCGGCATAAAGAGAAGTGAACGCAACATAGAACTTTGAGGCACCCTACCCCATTCTGGCTATCACCAGGACACAATCCTACTCACTGTTACTGTGGCCTTTGCCCAAAAATTTCCTTGGTCCGGTCTCTAATGCCTTCGCCACCAGTATGCTTTCCATCCTTTTAGAAATACTATCCCTTGACACTAGGCTGAAACCTAGCAGACGGCACCATGATGTTGTGCATGAAGTCAGCAGTGAACACACCTTGATGCCCAGGTTTTCGCATTATGTAACAGACTTTGGGATGTAGCTTCAGAAATTAGTTGCGCATGCACACACTGTCAACGCACACAGTAGCGGATAGCATGGGCGAAAAATTCTGCTACTAAAAATTAATGCAGGCTGATGGACTTGTGCCTCTGGACCAGCCATGCTGCAATTACCTAGCTGGGATTTGCAGTGTTTTGATTCGAAATTACTTGTAACTTCTCCCCACGCCACAGCAGCTTGTAGGTTGATATGACTTCGAGACTTGGCATTTTAATTACTAGTTTGGGTGCTGATTTCGCTGACCATTTGACCCTTTCCTGGGCATCAGTTCTTTTCATATCCGTCAAAAAACGGTTCAAAAGTGAGGGTACAGAAAACTTCATTTAGAGCCCGGGTTCTCTCACCTGGTGGACAATGAGTGGAATTCCTTACTGGAAAAACGGTATCAACTTTTTCAGTGGAGGCTCTTAAGAGCAAACTGAATCTTCGGATGGATATTCGCCCCGAGGCCCAACACAAACTGCACAGCTTAGCATCTTAATTTAAGACACTTTCATTTGGCCTATGGCACAGATACAGACTGACAGGCTTCTGTTTTAGCAAGCTAGATTAAGTGCACCGAAAGTCAAAGTTCCGTTTATATTTCACTTTTGAACTTCTCCACAATCTTCGAAATGGTGCGTCATAAGCCAGTACCTGAGTGCCCTAGCCTCTAGGCGGGATGAGACTTTTTCACCGTGGTAAAGAGGCTATCACAGAAATAGAAGCCCGACTGAAGGAAGTGGGTTTCCGGTGCTTCTTTAGTTCGAGGCATTCATGGGAGTTCCTCGAGTCACTACATTTCATCTTATGTTGTCCTTGTTCTTCAAGATTAGCCTTCAGAGCCTTTTTCCCCCACCCAATGCCACATAATGACCATCCAAACTTTGGAGTGAAACTGAAAAGGCCATTCCCTTCCCCAGGAACCCGATTGGATTCTGTTACGCAGTTCCATCAGTGAGATGGCTTTCAAACGTCTGTAGTTCAAAATATTTGTATTTCTCCATGTTGTTGATCGCCGGAAAACGCGGCTGATGATATTAACGGATTCCCAGCAAAAGCTTAGGGAGATCCATAGTCTCTGGGAGTGGTCAACAAGCAAACTCGATGGACGCAGACGTCAACTACTGCTTCTTTGCACCTCTTGAACGCCCAGAAGTGTGTGAGCATGAAGGAACACAGTAGGATGGTCAGATTGAAGAACGCATCGCAACATAGCTAGTTCTTGACCTCACAGAAAATACGCACTCGTGCGACATTGTTGGAGATAGCGTACCTTAATTTTTCAGTCAGTATCTAGCGTCAGGAGGCTGTTTTCGCCAAACCTGATTGGGAGGATAATTTTCGGACCAGGTACAGGACTGGCCGACGGCACTCATGATCAGACAGTATCGTGCTTCCACACTCCGTTTTGAACAGGACACCACTTGGTGTTATCGACGCCACCAGGTCTACCTGTTGATTGATCCTGTCACCTGCGTAGACAGGATGAAAAGTGGGCATGAAGCATGGCATACTGTGGCCTACGGCTTAAGCTTCGTAAAAGCTCCTTAACAGAGTTGCAGAACTACGCTGTAGATGCTGGAAATAGATCTGACAGATATCCCCAGTGTTTTACCACTAGAAGCCACCATGTCATCAATCGTAGTGAACTGGGGTGCCACTGGCACGGTCTGTACCGGTTCTGACGGGTTGGAAAGAAACTGCTCACAGAATTGGCCAATATCGAATATCAGTTGCCAGTAGCTCCACACATTCACGTAAACATGTCATTAATGGAGATGATAATTAACTCGATACTACAAAGCAATTCGTCTGAGCACCCATGATCCGCTAGACAATCCCCCCTGGAAGCGCTATTTCAAACAGTGTAGAAGAGTTTGTCACTACTGGAGTAAAATTGCGCTCTGTCATGTACCTAAATGTTCAATTCCCATAACAGCGGTCGTATGGCGATAAATAATGGAAGGCTAGGAGCTGCGATACCCTGTTTTCGGAAATCATCAGCGTCTTATGGCCAGAACAGCATCGTCTGAATAGGATTCGTTGTCGATCTGACGTGAAAAAATGGCCTTCTAGTCTCACACAGACCTGGAAGCTTACAGCAGGGGAATATATGGGTTACAAACATGGAAAATAATCGGACAAGCTCGAAAGTCAAAGGCTCACCAATTCAGGAATTTTCTGTATAGTATCTTGACAAGCGAAGAGACCAACCGCTAATTCTTCGCAGGTGTTGGATGTCCTTGAGTATGAGACCAAGAGAGAGAAGCGAGGTGCTTATACTTGATAATTCATACTAATAAAGCAAGACATATGGGCCGGCTGACGTGTGAACTGTGAGCCAGCAGTATGCCAACAAACCGAGTGGCATAGATGCTTGACAATGCGTCTCCAGCTTAGACACCATTAAAACTATGGAGGTCAGAATTAACATTGAATGTTGTTCACGTATAAGTTATTAATTTTGGGGAATTACCTGTTACCGCACGGAATAACTATATAGAAGAACTTATAATCTCTTCATCTAGCTGCATCGGCAAAAGAAACAGACCACCATCATGTCACTATATCTTACAAAGAAATCGAAGCATTTGAACAAACTACAAGATATGCAACCAAGAGTGACCGAAATGAAACTAGCCAGTCCAAGGAAACCTTAGCACACCACACTTTTTTCATGCTGCGGCATAAATTCATTGGGATATGTTTATCTTGTGTTTACGTTCCCAAAACCCTACCAATGTTTACAAATAAGGAAAAAACAACCCCAAATTTACGAACGAGGGTGTCCTTGAAAATGAATGTCACGAAGCCAACAAAGATGCCTTCTCACTCCTCCGCATTAAGAGCATGTGGGTGATGAAATTCCCTTCATGGGGAGATACTAATGACTTAGTCATCATCTGTACTAAAATGGGGGCCAAATTTACATTGTGGACTTCACATAACTGATAGACAGCGTCCTAAGCGCAAGTACCAATGCGGCAAATGCCAAGCCCAAATACTGACAGCTTCAAATGATATTTCTTCTTCGCTTTGTAACAATCATGAGAAATAACTAAACAAAATAATTTATATTCAGTCAGTTTATAGCTATAGATATCCAAAGCAGGGTTGTAATCGTTTGGACAGGGTGCAAGTAACATTCTACTTTAGAGGTTTGTTGAGGCTTCATTGATTTCACGATGGCGTTCAGCAAGGTCTAGAAGCCAGAATTTCCAAAACTACAAGTTTTCTCTAGTCACACCTTTAGTATTGGATGCTGGAACACAATATCGACGTTTGACCTTGACGTGAAATTTAAACTGTAACCTTAGGATCGACGGCTCGGTATACGGCCAACAAAGAAGTGGAAATATAAATTAGCAGCTACTAGAAAGAGTCAAGCAAATGACTTTAAGACTAACAGTGAGAATCACGCAACGTTGAGGACGCGTTTCAATGATACTAAGTGTATGGATGAAGGGTGAAACCGCGAAAAATATTTAAAACGGCATGCATCTACTGTACACGTTATAAGTTTTAGTCTGAAATAGGAATTTCCGGTGGCTGTTAGTCATTTCAATTATAAATCACCTATTTTTACGCCTAAGTTCTTCAGTATTTCACGGGTTCCATTTGGTTAGGTTAGTATGTAAAACAGTAATCAGAGGGAATCATTGATGTGTAAAGAATGTAGCATAGTGATGAAATATCATTTTTCGCGGAAATCCAGCTTGTCTCGCCCAGCAGATCCGTTTTCTACACAACCCTGGTGGAATTGAGAAGACGAAAAGTGAACATTGGGCATTTACTTGGCGCTACTGACCTATTGAGCAATATGCGATCAGTATAATTGATTGTCTTCTGATTGTTTTATTAGTTGCAGCCGCTGCTTTTTGTCTCCATCGATAGGGGAATGTAGTTTCTTAAGTCGTGGTAGTGTTTGAGAAAAATGATTGTTTGGTATACGTACATAGAAGCGAACCGATCACCATGCAGCATTAAACTTACTGTCAATTTATGCTTTCACTACTTAGTCCCCATGTCTTGGATGTTGTGGAAATAGGGCTTTGTAGACGCATTCATTACACCTTTCATTCAAGAAAGTAGTATATCAGCAAACTTGAAAGTAATGATAGCGCAGCACGGTGTGTTGCATAAAACCAATCTTATGTCTTATATCTTATTACTGAATTGTCCGTTTGTACCTGTTTTCATTGAAGTCTCAGGTCAGAAGTGACTATGGTATTCATCGTAAATTCCAGGGACAACATTGACTTATCTTGCACCTTCCCCGCCATTCTTCCTATCTTTAAATGTTAACTGAGAAGAACTGATGAAATTATATTTATCACTACTTCCAAGTTTGCTGGCCCATTGCATTTTTGAAGGAGAGGTATAGTGGATAATAAACGCATCTGCTGAGCTCTGTTTCTATAACATCTGAGATATGGGGATTAAGTAGTGCAAGCCGGAGTTGACAGTAAATTCAATGCTGCATGCTAATCATTTCTCACTAAACGTTAACTACCTTTCTGTCACATTACCCCTACTTGAGCGTACTCCTAACAGTAGGTCGGAATCTATAACAAACTGGGTTTAAGATTTAAGTGTGTTTGGTTATTACCAGTAAATTGAGTTTCCATAGGCTCTATTTCAGCTCTTTAAAGATAGGTCATAGTGTACTTAATTTCCTTCATCCAAAATACTGGATATTTATGCCACCTTTATGACCAGCTTCACAACTTTATGTAGACTAACACAATTGCATAGCGATACCTTCTGCTTTTGTGTCGATGGGGATTGTTTATACTTAATGACAACAGCCGAAAGGCGATAGTAGCAGCGGAATAAGTAAAACTGAATAGCAAAGTGCACTACGCTGAAAATTGTTATTTTCTGCTATATGACTATGATTCAATCTTTGGAGATCGAGGAAATGAGAAGGCTTCGACCACTGTTTTTTTAGTACCGTAGGCCATATGTTGTGGTGTCACTAAGTCAGTAACATAGAAATCAAGTCTAAACTTCTAGGGGAAGAGGAAAGTCAGTTGATGAAGTTGTGAACTTTCATAGACTTAGATGGCTGAACCATGTGTTGTGCATACCTAGTCATCATCTGTCCAAACGTGCAATACTAGCTGAAGTAGGTTTCGACTGGAAAAAGGTTAAAGGCGGCTGGAGGAAAACCTGACATCAGTCCATGAAGTCTGACTGTTGTTGTGAGACGCGTAGGGAAATGTAGACTTCTGGGTCGGGGTTCGTAAAACAACTAGGATCAGTGGTTAGAAACTCTAGGTGACTTGGCTGAGAATCAACCTCTGATGTAAATCTATCCACGAATTATCTTCATCTCAAACATCATGCCGAAATGTATTATTGTTTTATTCCTTTTTGTTCTGTTTTACCAACTTTCTGCCACTTTTGATTACTTCCTTCTTTATTGCTTTGCCTTTCATCCTGGTGCTTTCTATCTTGATTTGCTGACATATGGTGGGGCAACTTGGACCACTGCGCAATAACAGTAGGACTCCTATCAATCTTATCTGACTAGTAAGTGAATTGTATGTAATAAGCGAGCTGCAATAACATGGATAGTGCGGGATAAGTCGCATTCCTGTTCAGCTGGGAGCAAGTGACCTAGAATGCCCTTCTGAGAATCAAAGGTAAAAATATAAAGTCGGAAATGGTAACTAAACTTTGCGAAATTGCGGATTTAGTTATGCAACTCTAAGTCACTTTATGAAGAGTGCAAGTTTTTCTGCGGGTTCAGCAATCTACAGATAGATATCCCAAATTGATAGTGATTAATGCGATTAGAAGTGATATAGTAAGCCCCCTCCCTTATAGATGTAGGAATATACGCGAAAATTGATTTTCTTTTTTAATGATGTTGCTATTTCGCTTCGTTAGTCAAATAATTGAAACTCCTCTAAAAGTGCTGGAGACGATAAGCTAGTAGGAAAAGTAATGGTGTACAAAATATCTAAGTTCCATTTAGCTAACTCCAGATTTGTGTTTGTCGAGGGTATTATTATCTCACTTCTTTTTAGGAACGTTGATGCATTTGCAAAGTTTATCAGTAACAGGGACCCCAAAGAACTCATAACTTATCACAATACTTAAAAATCCCGATATTAATCGTTCTAAAAGGTTCAGTTAAATTATTATGTTGATTCCTATGAACCCTAAAACATTCTTTACTGTCTCTTGCACATCCGATGAATGAATTCAACCTGAGCTAGAAAATGCTTAACGTGCATTATGTAAGTTTCTTATCCTTATAAATATTTCCGTTTCATTCACTACAGTTGTGCGAGTATCGAACTGAAAGTCTGTTTTCGAACAACTAAGTTTCTTTTCATCGTAAATTCCTTCGAAAGAACGCTGTGATTCTAGTTTGGGAACAGGTTAACCATGGTAAATAAGCTTTCAAAGATCCAAGCGGAAACGCAGGAAATGACTCTTAAGGTTTTTGGTGTTCTACATTGTCAGTTATGTGTTTCACGTAATGTATGCTTTGAAAAAGATCTGGGTCATCATTGCTCTTGTACTCCCGAGCAAGGTTCTTAAATGAATTTTGACACCTCTTAAATAGTAGAACTTAACGTGAAGACATTTACTGAAGTTTTGGAAACAGGTAAAAAGTCAGCAAGTAAGTCCCACATATACCTGTTTCTAGGTAAAATAAAAGTAACTTGCATTCAGCTGCCTTTCACACTTGTACGTCATTCGTGTTCTTACCTATCTTTTAGAGTTCCATAAGTGTACGTTTCTTTCAACCTCCTGCAGCAATATTACTGATTGTCAACATTTGCTATTCGTTAGCTTCTTGAGTACAATGTTATCTATTCCGCTGAGCCTATATTCTCAGGAAAATGAAGGAATTCGTCTCTATTCATCCATTTCAAGCCTTTTTGTTAAGATCTACCGACCTTTTCTAGTTTTCTTCTAAGGGTCAGTTGCAGTCTATGCCACTGGTTTTTACAACACGAGTGAGCAAAGCTGTCATATCCCGTTAATTCCTTACCCATTTCCCTGTTTAATCCATTCTGTCAGTAAATACCGTAGCTTAGTAATGGAAAGTGGACCATCTAGGCTACAGCTTATGATTATCATTCACATTTTAATGTATTTTTGTTGTAACTGGAAGTTCAAACAGTAAGATATTGGAAATGGTAACCGTATTAAATGTATCAAAAAGTTTAATTAGTGCCAAGAATTAAGCAGGTCTCATTTGTTGACTGTAGGAAAGGATTAAGACTGGTTTGTTCGAGATACTAAACTTAAGCAAGTTAGGCAGTTATCTGGACAAGTGGTCAGTGGTATAACAGTAGGTGTTAATCTTTGACTCGTACTGCAGTTAACATGTCCGGTGGTTACTAGTATTTCAGTGAATAAATGTAAACGGTAGAATAAGTAATTTTACCAAATATTGTGATCATGAGTATTAAATTTGCTCAAAATATTATCAAAAGATACCTATCATTGTATGTAAATATCCGTTGCAAATATATTTATCTTAAATGGTGGATATATGCTCTGCTTTGTGTTAGAAACAGTACAGAGTATTATAAACCACTGTGCTTACATCATGCTAAATGATTGTGTGACTCCCTATTGATAAGTTGATGTGTTGCCCACAACATCTTAGCTTGCATACGAAATGCTTAGTGTTCACCATCAGTTTTCAACAAAGCCACTCTTTGATACTGCGAAATGTCACATTATTCGAAGTTGAAGTGATTACCTGATTACTACCTGTGAGGTCACTTCTGAGTAAATGTCTGTAGCTGGACACCAAAATATGTTTACTTTCATTGTGATTTCAAAATCACACATGACACCACAACCTTATGTTCACTAACCACAGTACCTTCAACTTGTGTCCCTGGATTCTTTTAGAATCGTCTTAAATCCCCAGTAAAAAATGTTCCACATATCAAGATCACCTTGTGTAAACCGTGTGTTATCGTCGATCCCGTACTGGAGTCGTCATTACAGTTCATATAAATCTGCAGAAGAATCAAGCAAAACTTTGAAAAAGCAATTATTGGACCGAATTAATACTTTTGGACCTTTAACAGTGGCTGAATATATGAAGGAATGCTTATGTAATCCATTATATGTAAGCTATTCTTTTAATTCATTTCTCCAGGGTTACTACAATACACACAATGTTTTCGGAAAATGTGGGGATTTCACCACTTCTCCAGAAATATGTCAAGTTTTTGGTGAGGTAACAATATTTTTCCTTTACTTACTACACCTTAAAAGCTTGTAGGTGTATGGTTGTTGGAAGAATGGAAGAGACAAAATTGTCCTCAGCAATTACAACTCGTTGAACTTGGCCCAGGACGTGGTACACTTTGTGCTGATATACTAAGGGTTTGTTACTGATTTGAAATTCTATTGAATAACTTTATGTTAGAGATTAGCAAATCATCGTAACCTACATTTCTAATTTTATGGTTTACCGATAAGACTCCCTGAGATAACCTTAGTTTGACGAACTCATCTCTTGACCTTGTCTCAATTTCGCTTTACTCACCGAGGATTCTGATCGGCTTTTTGTGAATGAATGAAATTTTCAGATTATTAACTCGAATGCTTTTGTAACCCAGGATCAGCACCCCATTATCGTATGGTTTGGCTCATCCCGACATTCCGCAAGTAGTTAGACAGAAATGGGTCTCATAAGAGTATACAGTAATTTACGGATTCCAACTTTTCCTACTGTCTACGCTCGATACTGAAAATCAGATGGCCAGAAAGAATAAGCAAAAGTGAACTCTGGCCTGGCAACGAACCAGCCAACCAAGAACCTATTGCCCAACAAATATGGAAAAGAAAATGGGAATGGATTGGGCATGCACTGGGAAGACCGATTGGGGACATCACGCTCCAGGCCGTCGAGTGGGACCCTAAGGGGAAAGGACGAGTTGGGCGTCCGAGGCGAGGGTGACATGGAGGAGGTCGTATGAGGAAGAAATGAAAGCTTATGGGCAGTTGTGAAGCCAGGTTCAAAAGACTGCGGAGAAGGAATTGAAATAGAGACGTGCTACTGAAGCCCTATGTTCCACTAGGAACCCAAGGGACAAATAATGATAACTTTTCCCGCTTGATGTTTAGACGATATCTAAAAGTTCCTCTGGATAACTGAGCTAATCCCTGAGTCACCAATCTTCTCATACCTTTTGCAAACTGCTACACAATTCTTTTCCATATCTTAATTTAAAACAGTTAGTTCTAGAGGGACTCGATAGACTAACTGTCGTTTCAACACATGGTTATGAATATTTTTAAACGGGCCAACTAGAAATAGAAAACATGCCATCTCTTGATAATATACCTCGCCATACCCCCCATCATACCGGTACTTTCTCGTTGCCATCTACAATATCCGTGTCTCGGGATCTAACCTAGATCGTTGGTTCACGTTTTAAGTAGTACGAGGTGATCATTTTGGTACTCACCTTGTTGTGTATCTTTATTATTATTGTTATTATTATTATTATTATTATTATTATTATTATTATTATTATTATTATTATTTGTCCCTTGGGTTCCTAGTAGAACATGGGCCTTTAGTAGCATGTCTCCAGTGCACTCTCTTCTCTGCAAATTTTTGAACCTGGCTCCACGACTGCCCACAAGCTCTCATTTCTTCCTCACACTATCTCCTCCGTGTCACCTTCACCTCGGACGCCCAACTCGCCGTTTCCCATCTGGGTTCCACTTGAGGGCCTGGCACGTGATGTCCCCGAATGGTTTTCTCAGCGTATGCCCAATTCAATCCATTTCCACTTCCTTCTGCATATTTCTTGAGCGATAGGTTGTTGGTTGGTTCGTCGCCAGCCAGAGTTCCTTGTTGCTTATTCTTATTATTCTGGCCATCTGTGCTTCAGTAACGAGCGTAGGCAGTTGTTGATGAATATCTGTGGTTTGTTGGAAATGCCTTTCGCGACGCGCCAAGTCTCTAAACCATATAGAAGCACTGACTTGACATTGGTGTTGAAAACCCAGATCTTGTTCTTTATGCTGAGTGCAGATCTCCACACTGGTAAGTTAAAACGACAAAGTGTGTATTAATGTAGAAAAGTAACTAGCTCTATGGCTTTAGTGATATGTCTAAACTTCTTTGGGAATTACGTACAGTCTGATAAAACAGCTATCAAATCCTACATATGTTTATTCCTACACTACTGAATTCAAGAATGAATGTAAGGCATATATTCAGGTAGCTATTCGTAAGACAGTTACTCCAGTCTTGTCATTTGACAGCCTAATGTTAATATAAAACTGGCAATGTGATGGAGTGTAATTTCATTTTAGTTTAGTTGTGGTGTTATAGCTTGTAAGTCTCCGTCGTTGACTGTAGCGAATTGATCGGCCACCGTCGGCATGTGGGCATCTGTGTGGATTCCTCGATATTGCCGGCATTTTCAGTTTTGGTAATAATGATGAATAGGGGTCAGCAGTGGAATCCAGAATGCACATTTCGTCCTATTTGGGATTCGTCAGCTGGATGTACCTGCTCCCGAGTGAGCAATGTTGGTCCCACTAGGACTCGGACCCAGGATGAAACGCGCATCCTGGATTCCACAGCTACTCACTATCCGTTATTAATATAAAATCGAAAATATCAAAGCATCCACACATGATTCCATATACTGATAGCGGTCGACCAATTTGGTTCAATCAACAATGGTGACTTGCAAGCTATAGCATCAAAACTTTACCATGCCCTTCGTACGAGTAGTGGTCATCGTAACTGAATGGTCTAGTGGATAACGCTCCTCTGTTTATAGTTGATTAGCCCTAGGTTGGAGTTTTAGTGGGAGCAGGATCACTTACTGGGAGGCAAGTACATCCAGCTGATGAGTCCCAAGTACGAAAAAACGCGCGTTCTGCATCTCCATGCTACCCACTATCTGTCATTCATTTTAGTTTGTATATCAGATGTATCATACCGTGAAACACCCTGATATGACCATTATGAAAACCTTACCCAGTAATTAATGCCGCTTCATTATGTGACACTGTTGATAAACAAACTAAAATGAAGCTCATGGTTAGCTGTCGCCCGAACTAGCTGCACTAACTGGTGTTTGTGAGAGATGCTCAATACTAACTGTTGTTCCTCTTTATTGCAGTTATGTTTCCTTAGGTACCACTTCCAAAGTTTCATGCGTTGATTCTCTACCTAAAGGGTACTCTGGTCAACATAGGGTACACAACCGACAGTTTCGCCAAGTAAACAGCATAAGTAACAGTGTTATACCTTTTAGATACATCACCGCTCATTTCTTGCGTTAGTTTTTTTTCATTGTGCTATTAGTGAAGTATGCCAACAGGAACTCATTCTCTATTGTTTTACGGTCTATGTTTTATTGGTCTATAAGCAGTATATTTCGTTACCCTATTGCTTTGTGGCGCATTTAACTTGATTATCAGTTGTTAGAACCTCATACATATCGTGGAGCTGGGACTTATCGATTTGAGTAGTTGATTTCCTACTAGTACATTGTGGGTTCGAACGGCGCTCCGTCTACCAGGATTTGGGCAGCCAGGTAGTATCACTGACCCTCGTACAAGAGATGTGATTCATTACCCAGTGCACAGATGTGCACAAGGTTGCTGTGTGCATTTTTTTGGACGGATATTCATCACAGCAGTTGCATAGCGTCTTATTCTTGAAACCTTTCATAAATGGCACTAATCTGACAGAAGCAGATAAAAAAACTGTGAGTGAATATTAGATTATAATCTCTGAAACTTGTGTCCTATCGGTTGTAATATGCACTGATGATATGAAGTCATCGGTTAAATACCGTCGTGTTGCGGCCGCTTCCAGTACCTAAGCTGAGTGAGACTGACAAATCATTTACTAATTTATTATCGTATCCCGTATCATTAAATGGAATAATACTGTCACTTTTTATACAATAAAATAAACTCAAGATAATATGAATAAATATCATCTGGGTAATACTGTGCAACTAGTCAATAGTGAAACTAAAGATCCATTAATCAGTCAGTGATTTCTTACCAATTAGCTTGTGACTCTTGTGTATTGTATAGTAATCTGGAAAGGCTTTCTATATTCATACTGAAAAATATTAGTGTGGTACAGGAGGCTGATACCTACAATGATAAAAAAAGAAATCAACCACAGCAGAGACTGAACCCAGCAGTTTTTATTGCAGGCTCAAATAGCCTTAGCAACATAAGACGTGGTACAATCATATATAAGTCGATTTCAGGGGCACAGACACATCCATAACAGTATCTTAATCCTAACCACCAAACAAAATTTCGTTATTGCTTTATCTCTTCTTCCTCGCTCTCTACGACTTCCTACTTCTTCTAAGCTTATTTAACCTTATTTGTTTTCCTATTTTTCATCATGCTGCCTTGTATCCTGATGTGTTAATGTATATGGTGAGGCGATTTCGTTATTATTGTCTGACTGACTCACCGTGTATCATTTGAAGTTAATGCACTTCACATTAGTATAACTAAGGGAAATCAGTAAGAAGAAAGCCAAAGAAAGCAGTATCACTACTTTTGAAATAAACCAGTACAAGAACGTGAAGGAAGTGAAATATGTCAAGTAATATAATGCTCAAAATTTATGGAGATATGAGTTTTAAGTGTATCTGCTAAAATTTTGGTCGACAGTAGCATGAATTAAGATATATACTGTCACTGTATAAATAACTTACGTTATGATGGACATGCAAGAGGTGAGTCATGACGCTATCTGAATGTAAAGTGTTTACTAGGAATCCCCACCATCACCGCTCCTACTTAACTAGTTAACTAACGAACATAACCCTGTATGTATGTCTGACTTCACAGGGATTGATCTACTCCCCGTAGGCTATCTGGTTGGTTTGGAATATGCAGACGATATTTTCCTGCTAGGTGAAGACGCTCACAAAATCCAGGGTCTTCTGGACACGAGCAGAAATCTGAGTATGTTTGATATGCGTCTGATACCTGTCAAGTGTAAGATAATACTCCAGGACTGGTCTGTAACTACCCCTATTTTAAGGCAGGGAGTGAAATGGTGGAATGTGTCGACCACTTCACTTAGCGAGTTGCACCTGCCCGAACAGGCTGGTTACTGATGAAATCTCAGCTTGGATAAAGAAGGCCCGTTTGGCATTTGCTAACTTTCACCACCTGTGGCGCCGACTGGCGAGATATCCAAACATCTATCAAAGGACGAGTATACCATAATGCAATCCTTTTCGTCCTACCGTACGGATGTTAAACATGGCCGTTAACATCAGAAAACATGAAGCGATTACAGGGTTCACATCATAGGCGTGTTTGTAGCATTGCTTGCGTTTGGTGGAATCACCGTGTGAGAAATGTTGAGGTCAGGCGAAGAGTACCAGGCAAGATAGACAATTCGATTGATGAGATTGTGAACCTTTATCGTTTGAGGTGGCGTATGCCGAATCATCGCCTACCTCGACGTACCGTGCTAGGGGAAACTGGGTAAGGTTGGAAGAGGGTTCAGAGTGGCTAGACCAAGACCTGATACCAGTCAATGAAGTTCCTCACTCTTGGTCTGAGAAGTGTGGAGAGATGCAGACCACCAGGTTGCGGTCCCCGAGACGATAGGAATCAGTGGTTAAGACCTCTTGGTGACATGGTTGAAAGTCGGTCACAATGGCACAGATGTGTTCACTCCTTGATGTCTTCTGGGATTTGAATATTCACACTAAACGTTATCTTCAGATCGTTTATTCCCTCACACAACTTTGTCTACTTTGATATCACTCTTTTCCTACTTAATTGTTCTTTGTATGCTACTATGAAGTACGGCAACTTAAATCTTTTTCTGTCTTTCCGCCTACTTCACCTTAAACTACAGCTTTACTTCTCAGATAATGAGCCTCTTTAAAAAATAAACACAATTCTTCTGTATCTAATACTTCCTAGAGTGTTCTATGTGGTAAGCCTTAAATAGGTATGCGTTGGACTCAGCAGTTACAAAAAACTAACCAATTTTCCCTTTCAGGAACTTCTACAAGACGTTAACTTTTATAGTATAAGCGATCAGAAAGTATCGAGTACCAATAAACTTTCAATAGCACATCAATCTCTTCGAAATAAGTTCCTTTCATAAGAATATTTGTCATCAATACTAGTTGTGTGAGGTCAGCTAAAGTAACTAAGCTACAAATAAATTTAGGTTATGCATAACAGAATAAAAGAGTAAATCAGACCATGTATATCGTATCATTTTTATTCTGTTTCAGGTTCTCTCAAAATTCCCTGATATATATTCAGCTACATCAATACATTTAGTGGAAATAAGTTCATCAATGCAAAATACTCAAAAGGAAACAATTGAAAAGGTATCATCAGTTTTATCCAAAAAACCGCTGCCTATATTTTGGTACAATGATCTACGACAAGTTCCTGAAACATTCTCATTTTTTATAGGTCATGAATTTTTTGATGTACTTCCAGTTCATTGTTTTCAAGTAAGCTCTTTTCCAGTGTTATTACTTATATATATATATATATATATATATATATCCTCAGGCGTAAACAAGACTTATGTGAGCTACTTAAGTCTCATAACGCCTGCTGCATGAATGGTATCTCTGCAGAAAGTAAATCGAGTGTTAACTATTTTGAGTTGAGTTTTATTTCTGATCTTTTTTGGTCGTCTCATAATCTTTCAAAATCTTTCGTTGAAAGTATTGCATAAACTGAGGCTGTCTGGTATAGCCCAACCTCTACTTTTACAACTTATTAGTTCCTGCATTTTGATTATTCTTCTCTATTGTTCTCCGTTGATCTTTCCTGGTCTACTAAAAAAGGACAGTGTTTTATGGTGTAGGGCTTTGAAAGACATGAGTAGGGTGAGTGCTGTGCCTGTGACCCAACTGATTAACACTGTAGTTGATACACATTTAAATTCTAGCAAGCAATTAGCTACAGTAGTTTTAAGTGGTACTGAGCATCCATTTTATTCACAGTTATCTCCTTGTATCTTCTCAGGAGGGGGACAAAAAGTGACTGCATAAGACTGTGAGCTGGTACAGTCAAGTACAAGAATTTGACTGTACCTTACGTAGCATGCATATTATGTGAGGAACAACGTGTGAGAACAGAACTCACATATCAACTTTGTAACAGTTAACAATCTATTTATTGACATACTTGTAATTCTGCGTTGTTTTATTGGATCGAATTGTTAGACCTCTGTTGGCATATGGGCTCCTATAAGGATGCCTCGATATTGCCTGAATGTTAATTATGATAATTTGGTTGGTTGTGGCTAGCATAAGACTCCAGGATACACGTTTCCGCGTAGGAGCCCATATGCTAACAGAGGTCGAACAATTCGATCCAACAAAACAACGGAGAATAACAAGTATATGAATAAATAGTAATAACTACTAGCCATTGTACAAGAAGTACCTGTCGTTTCTCCGTGACATAGTGGATAACGCCTTGGCGTCTGAAGCGATGGGTACGAGGTTCGAGTCTCAGTGAGGACAATATCACTCACTGGGGTGCATGTACATCCAATTGACGAGTCCCAAATAGGATAAAACGCGCGTTCTGGATTCGTCTCCTAGCCACAACCAACCAAATTATCATAGTTAGCAGTCTCATTTCAATAATTCAATTAACAATGTAAAATGTTCTCTTTTTTAATATTCTGTACATAGAAGATAGAGTGTGAAGCGAATACGTCGTATTTTCGGTAAATTCTTGTCAGGATTTACATTCACAAATTATTCAACATACTCTTCATTTGATATCAACATGGTTAAATTAATTCGGGTCTATAAATCAGAAGATAATCAGTAAGGGTGATAATGACAAAACAAAATCTCGGAAAGTCTATATATTCTCAGTAGTCAACCCTTGTAGGTGTATGAGTGAAAATTGTGTGTGTATGCAGGGTTAGAGGGAAATAAAATTATTGCCATATAGCGATTAGAGATAATAAAATGTTAAAAGTCATAATCAATTATGAAACTAAAGGTGAAAAACAAAATAATATTTACATTTATCCGGATAACCGGGAAAGAATTTATTGTAATTGTGTCAGGGTTGAAGTTGAAGGCCATGGGAGGTAAAGAGAAAATTTTAATTACTATGGCTTTTGCCATGCTTAGCGATAGGAGGCGCACAAACTTGGATTATTGTGATGGGACTTCGTAAATGATAGTAGATGCTGAGGTTTTGTCAATCTTATGCTGAGTATCTACTAGGTGGGTGAATATTGAGCTTTTGATGGATTTCACTGTTCCTTTGCTTAACCACGCTGGACAGTGTTCAATGAAGCTATGATGTGTTTGCCGAGTCGTTCTCCTTATGTAACTATCCCCACAGGAGTAGTTAAATTTATAAATGCGCATAGATGTGGCGAGATTCAGAAGCCTATTCCTTCAACTCCATTGGCATCACACAACAAGTAGTAAATTTCAATTATAATGTGGTGGCAAAGAAGGTTTTCTGTATCAGAGTTCTGAGTTTCATTGTAAAGCCTGTCAAGAACTTACCGAAAATACGTATTCGCCTCAAACTCTATCTTTTAATTACCACAATAGGAATAATCAAATTCTTAAAATAACACAATTCAAAATGTTATGCCATACACATATTTCGTTGTTGTTGTAATAGATCCTGCTGAGACTTGCAAATTGTACCAAAAATTGTTTGCAATAAAGTGTATTATTATTATTGTACTACCGTAGACTCATTTTCTCACCATCTTCTGGGTTTTCTTCTTATAGAAAGTTGAAAGAAATTGGTATGAAATATTAATTAGCTCCATGGCAAATACTGACAACTTATGCTTCGTTCGTTCAAGTACAAAAACGCCAGCTTCGATAGCCTACCTTCCGGTAAGCTTTTCCAGTATGTTTCATTTATCATTCAATCTTTCCTATTTAGTTTTTGTTGTTGTAAGGAGTTCTCTGTTTATTTTAAAGGAGTCTAGTAAATGGGTAAATGATGGACAAGCAACGTACTCTTTTATTTTTTTTATATTGGAAGTTAAGAGTAATGATTATAGAATTCATAAAAGATGAGCTGATGTAAAAAGGTTTTTGAATACTTGTTAGCTATTCTACTAATAAAATTAAGAAAATCAACTTCTAACCAGTAACTAGTTTCGTTCAAACAATTAGACACTACATCAATGTGTTAATTCCACTTTTATGGATTAGACTATCTGAGATGGCTGTAGTTCAGTATTCTTTTCTTTAGGTAATACAATGATAATCAAGGTTGAAATAGAAATATGAGTCGTAGAAGGATACGAACCAACAGTTAATGAATTTGAAGTTTTGCTGACAAACTTTTCATACTTTTTCTTCTTCTGTACATGAAGTCAAGTAGTGCATATCTCCACTAATATTTTAAGTTTATCAATGTGAACTAAATCGTCTTGACCTACTTTTGATACATTCAGCTTGACAAGGACATACCTCATGCTGAAACTATTATAATATCTGTTGACCTTCTAACATACTGATAGCCAACAAATTACTGTTTCTCTATATATGCCAACTGGCTTTTGTAGTCAGTGCCATATGTCTATTGTTAAGAGTTTGGTCTTGGGTTCGATCCCTGGTGGGGTCATGGATGCGCACTGCTGAAGAGTCCTGTAGTGGGGCGAAACAGCTGTCCAGTGTCCCCAGGTCCCCACTGTTCCTCCAACTGATGTCAGTCCATGATGAATTCAAACCTAAAATCAACTAATAAATCTCCACAAACCCCCAGATAGAATAAAAGTTTGAGTTGCCATTTTCTTACAAAGAAAATAACAAACAGATTAAATGAGATTATTCAACTTAGTCTCAGTAGACTGATTCATTTTCTAATCTGTTGCCAAAAGTACTAGTTCCCGTTAAATGTTAGTATTCAACTTGGACATAACTGTCCCTTCTAAAGTCAATATTTACTTCACTACATCAGTATCGATAGTCTTTTCGTTTTTTACCCCGATAAATAAACAAATTGTACTTTTACTTTGATAGTAGTCATGGCTAGTGACTGACGGCATAGTTCACGACTCGGATTTCATCCTACTTGGGACTCATCGACTTGACGTATCTGCCTCGCGGTGAGTGATGTTGTTCCTACTCCAACTATGGCGTTTGAAACGATGAATTGTAAATTTAAGTTGCAGTGGAAATAATGTCATTCACTGGGAGACAGGTGCATCCAGCTGATAACTTCCAAACGGTGAAACGTGCACCCTGGATTCCACCATTAACTGAAATTACCGGCAATGGCCAGAGATGCGCATAGGAAACGAAATGCCGAAGATGATAGATTAATTGAGCTCTATCAACGACGGGAAATTAGAAGCTATGACATCAGTAGATTATTTATTATTAGTCCCTTGGGTTCCTAGTGGAACATAGGGCTTCAGTAGCACGCCTCCAGTGACCTCTGTTCTCTGAGATCTTTTGAACCTGGTTCCACGACAGCCCAGAAGCTCTCATTTCCTCCTCGCACGACCTCCTCCATGTCACCCTCGGACGTCCAACTCGTCGCTTCCCATGGGGATTCCACTCGAGGGCCTGACGCGTGATGTCCTCAGTCGGCCTTCTCAGTGCATGGCCAATCCATCTCCACTTCTTCCTGCATATTTGTTGCGTGATAGGTTCTTGGTTGGTTCGTTCCCAGAGTTCCTTGTTGCTTATTTTTTCTGGCCATCTGATCTTCAGCAGCGAGCGTAAGCAGTTGTTGATGAATGTCTGTAGTTTATTGGAAATGCCTTTCGTGACGCGCCAAGTCTCTGAGCCATACAAGAGCACTGACTTGACGTTGGTGTTGAAAATCCGTATCTTGTTCCACATGCTGAGTGCAGAAGATCTCCACACTGGTTTCAGGCTAATGAACGCCTGTCTTGCTTTTCCGATTCTGACTTTGACGTCCTCGTCCGTCCCGCCTGTAGTTGAAACAGTGCTTCCTAGATAAGTGAAGGAGGTTACTTCCTTCAAGTTTCTCCCGTTGACGGTGATTGGAGTTTGTTGTTGTTGTTGATGGTGGTGGTGCGGTATCTTCATCACTTCTGTCTTCTCTATATTCACCTGAAGTCCCGTCTTCGCTGCCTCTTCTGCAACTTGTTAGTTTTTGCCTGCAGATCTTCAAGTTTATGTGACATTAGGCATAAGTCATCGGCGAAATCCAAGTCTTCTAGGTTCTTTTCCGTCGTCGCCAGTGTATCCCCCTCTTCTCGCTGCCTACTGTTTGCTGCATGATCCAGTCCACCACAATTAGGAATATCATGGGGGATAGTAGGCAACCTTGTTTCACTCCTGTCTTCACTTCAAAGGCATCACTGAGCTTCCCATTGTGGATTACTTGGCATGTGGCATCTTCATATAGTTGTTGAATGAGGCGGATAAAGGTTTGCGGTACTCCGTAGTATTGAAGCAGTTTCCAAATTACTTCTCGGTCGACGCTGTCAAAGGCCTTCTCAAAGTCGATGAAGTTGAGGTATAGAGCTGATTGCCATTCTACGCTCTGTTCTATGATGATACGAAGCGTTGCAATTTGGTCAGCACATGATTTGTACTTCCTGAAGCCTGCCTGTTCCGGTCGCAGTTTTGAATCCAGTGCGTCTTTAAGCCTCTCCAGGATGATGCGGCTTAATATTTTACTTGCTCTGGGTGGACAGGAGAGTGATTCCGCGCCAGTTCTTGCAAGCACTGAGGTCTCCCTTCTTCGGCAGTTTGACAAGGTAACCCTTCTTCCAATCAGCGGGCAGGTACCTTCTCTTCCCTCCACACCTTCTGCAATAGTGGTGTGAGCATGTCCGCTGTTGTCTCTGCATCTGTTCTCAGTGCTTCTGGCGGTATTCCATCTGGTCCTGCTGCTTTCCCGCATTTCAGTAGCTTTATGGCGTTCAGGACTTCCATTTTCGTTGGGGGATTAATGTTCACTTGTAATTCAGCGGCTGCAGGTGGTATTTCTGGACGAAGTGCAGGTGGTGGTCGATTCAAGAGCTTCTTGAAGTGGTCGGCCCATCGTTTCCTCTGTTTCTCTTCTTTTGTAATTAAATTTCCTTCTTCATCTTTTATTGGTTTCATCTGTGTTGGTCTCTTCCCTGATAGCAACCTGGTTATTTGATACAATGTCGTCAGGTCTCTCTTACCTGCAGCCTGTTCTGCTTCACTTGCCAGTGTTTCGTAGAAGTGTCTTTTGTCTTTGCGTGCACTCTTCTTCACTTCTTTATCCAGTGTTTTATACATTGTGCTCAGTTCCTCTTGTCGTTGAGCATCCTTGCACTGGTTTATCTTCTGCTTCACCATCCTCCTCTCCTCTATCAGCTTCCAGGTATCCGTCGAGATCCATTCCTTGTCTTCTTTCTTCTTCCTTCCTAATACTGTTGTGCAGGTTTCTTTCCACATAGCTTTCAAAGACTTCCAGTGTTCTTCCACACAGGTTTCTTCAGGGATGTTGCTCGATATCTCCCATTTTGTCTTGATGGCTGCTTTGAAGATCTCCTTTGTAGTTTCATCCTTCAGTTTCCGAGTGTTGTACTTGAATTGAGGTCTATCACCAGCTTCCTTGAAGGCTTTTAACTTGATTTGGAAGGTTCCTTGCACTAGATAGTGAGGTCTGAACCTACATCTGCTCCTCTTCTTGACCTTGTGTTAAGTAGACTGCGTCTCCATTTTCTTGAGATTCAGATAAAGTCGATTTGATTTTTAGTGTGTCCATCTGGTGAAGTCCATGTCGCTTTGTGGATATCCTTGTGCCTGAACACACTGCCTGACTCCAATCACCAAATCGTTGAATGCACAGAATTCTGCAAACAATTCTCCATTCTCATTCATTTCACCTAGCGCCTCTCGACCCATGGTTAGTTCTCTTCCCGTGTTGTCCCCTCCCAGTTTGGCATTCATGTCGCCCATTAGAATTTTGATATCGCCAACTGACGTCTTGTCCAGTGTTGATTGAAGTTGTCTGTAGAATTCCTCCTTTTTCTCTTGCTCTGCATTATTTGTAGGTGCATAACATTGTATGATTGTGACCTTTCTTCCTTTTGAGTTGAATCTTGCTGTCATGATCCTGGAGGAGATTGGTTCCCACTGCATGAGAGCCTTCGATGCTCTTGAGGACACCATGATAGCCACTCCCTCGGTGTGCTCGTGGTTGGCGTCTGGGTGACCGGAGTAGATTATTGATTCTCCAGTTGACAGTTTGGAGAGTCCACTCCCATTCCATCTGCTTTCGCAAATCCCAAGCACTTCGATGTTATACCTTCTCATCTCCTTTGCAATCTGGGCTGCCTTACTGGGTTCAAACACGGTGCGGACATTCCATGTCCCCACGTTTACTTTCGCTTTCATCGAGGGAGAGAAGACACATCGGCCAATTGGCTTCCCGAAGGCTTTCACCAACTGGCGTCATTTGGCCTCTCCGATTCCAGCGGAGAATAAGTTTGTTTTCATTTTTTTTATATTTTGTTTGTGCTTTGAAGTTTCTTTAGCGGTTAGATTTGTTTTACGGGATAGGGTTGCTAGCCGTATGCCCAACCTTCCCTCTTTACCCGGGCTTAGGACCGGCTAGTAACTAGTAAACTAGTTAACCAGGCGAGGTTGGACATCAGTAGATACTTTTCTAAAATAAGTTCGACAGTGACCGATATTTTCAAATGATGAGGATGTTGTTGATGATGTTGTGATCCTTCAGCTTATTGGTTTCGACGAAACTAATTACATTTCAAGTCATCAAAATAAGTTATTCACATCACAGTTTTTCCCTTTTGAAATCCATGCTGGTAATTTTATTATTTATTATTTGTCCTTTGGGTTCCTGACGGGACATAGGGCTTCAGTACCACGTCGCCATTTCACTCTGTTCTCTGCAGTCTTTTGAACCT